GATCAGGAGTTTTGACAATATATGGAAAACCTCTTAATTGCTGGTGCAAGGTCCACCCTGACCCGGGGTAAAATCAAACGTGTTGGGGTCCCAGCTATGGGCAAATAATTAACTATTACCAGCCATATTTTTAAATAAAGTTATTACCAGCAATACAATTTTGAAGGAAATATATTATCAAGAAACAATTTTTTTTGAAAAAGAAAATATTACCAACAAAAAAAAAATTTGTCGGTATTAAATAACCCATTGAGGTTGATATGCCATAAAATAAAAAAATAAACCAAACCAATTTATAAAAACAAAGAATACATATTCTATTCATATGAATCTATCATAAAAATTTTGTCAGCATTAAATAACATATTGAGGTTGATATGCCGTAAAACAAAATAAAGCAAACCAAAACCATATATACATATTTATATAAATAATGATAAAAATATATATATATATATATATATATATATATATATATATATATATATATATATATATATTAATGATGAAAATATTTTGAAAACCCTTTATCCCATAACAATTTGACATTGATATAAATCAAAAGAAAATGGAGATAAAATATTTATCTCCATTTTATTTGGATTTTTATCTGTTTACTATTTTTTATTTTGTTTTTTAAAGACAAAAGAGATAAAGAGAGTTAAACAAATATATTAACAGAAAACAGTAATGGAATATATATATATATATATATATATATATATATATATATATATATTTTTATATAAACAGATGAGATGATCAGTGTTACAAAAAATGTAATTTCCGACAGTGATTCCGCATGTCCAGACGTGGCAACATCAACAAAACCCAGTCCGATGAAATCCCAACGGATAAAACACGTCACAGAAACATTTTTCCAATCTATCATTATTTATATATATATATATATATATATATATACCTTTTTTTATCTATAGAAAAAACACCAATAATTTCCAAAACTTTAGAAAACCCCAGAATATTTCGGAAACTTTCGAAGCCTAAATATATGGTGTCTGGGACACCGGAATAAAACATTGTTACCTTATCTTTTGACACTTGGAGGCGTAAGATAAATTAAAGAAGGAAAAGGAAGAATGAGAGAGTATAAGGAGAGAGGAATATATAATCACATTCATATATTCACACGTACAGACGTACACACACATAGACACACACGCATACACACATAGAATAACAATAAATTTAACACTACTAAGAAGTGTATAATCTATTTTTTAAGTTAATCTATAAATAACAAAAAACGAGAAACTTGACAGACATTTGCGGATACCATCTTGCGAACGAATCGAACCGTTTACGAAACTCTGGGGTCGTGATTCTGAATATAGCCTCTATCGGCTAAATGACAGATTTTAAATTTCTATTAATTCTATATATATATACATATATAGAGGTTTCATTGAAGACGATTGGCAAGGTACTGAGATTAAGCGATTTTTTTCTTGTGATTTTCAAGTGATTTTGAGGTGGGGGGGTTTTTTAAGAACTATTGAAAAATAATTATTCCTCCCACATTAAGAAATGATGAAAAAAAAGACAGTGATTTTACAAATACAGGAAAAATATAATAAAAAAACTTTAATCGAAGTGCATTGTCAGTCGTCTTTAATGGAACCTGTATAATAGAATGATTGCTGTCTAAATATACAATTATATATATATATATATATATATATATATATATATACGTTATTTCGTCCCGTCCTGAAAAATTTATTTCGGTTGAGCTCTCTAGGGGAGAAAGTGTGGGTTTGTAAACAGTGACTTTTACCGCTAATAAAATATGACTCTTCGGTCAAGCGAATGAAGACCTCTCGGTCACTGTGTGTTTATCGAAAAATAAATACGCTTAAATTCACTTTCATCCCGGCCGTGCGCTGACGGCTTAGTGTTTGAATCTCCAGCTGACAACAAATCAGCCGGGTCTCGATCATAGCTAAAGGCAAACGGACGTCTAGTCTCACTGATGAGCTATGATACAGCGAAATAGTCTGTCTGTTGATTCAAATGATATATATATATATATATATGCATATATATAAATAATTAGAGAAATTGCAAACTATTTTGTATTTATACCAATTTAAAAAAAAAATTCACATTGCAACCAAAAAGAGGGAAATTTTTCTCTGATTTTAATAGACACACATTTTTTCTCGTTGAACTATTATAACCTCTTCCTCTCTCATCTCTCTCTCTATATATATGTATATATATATATATGGATTCATCATACAGAAGTAATTTTACAAATTATCTAGCAACAATTCAACTATAAGGATCGTGTTATTCAAGGAATTGATAGTAATTAATGCCTCATATATATATATATATATATATATATATATATATATATATATATATATATATAAATAAAAATTATCCAAATCGTGTAACAGCATAATTGTCCATCCCACAAAATAATAACTATCTAAAAAAACAGTAAACTAATTGAGTATCTTCTTTTTCAGGTTTTCATATACGTTTAACTATTTTCACAGCATTTGTCTTTAAAGATCGCTGGAAAAAAACCTTTTGAGTTATTTAACTAAAATGAGAGGAGGTTAAATTATTTTGTGTCAGACCCACTGTCTTCCCAACTGAGCAATGGTGAAAGGAAAAAGATCATTCAAGCCTTCAGTAATTCATACTCTGTCTTCCGTCTTCAAAGTCCATTCAAGAACCAGCAAGAAAGCGGTGAATAAGTTTAAAAAGAAAGGGAACAGTAGAGACTAAAAATTGGATAAGGAGGTCACAACTAGAAGAGGAATCATCATTTCAACTTAGAGCTAAAGAGATCAGTTAGAAAACATCAATCCATATGACATTTGGTCAACTAGAAAAGTTTAAATCTCTATCCAAATTTACAATGAAAAGTGAAAAATTACTTGAAAATGAAATCTTACATGAAAACAATTGAGTGAGAATTGTTTTCCAAGACAGAAAGTTAATGGTTAAGAGAATATTATCATCTTGAATAATTTTGGAAAATGGTCATCGAATAATTTATATTTTTTATCTTTTATTTCAAATTTAATTGAATGTTCCCATCCTTATTTATGATTAATTAATGATGATTTTGCCATTTTCCTTAGAAATCAATTTTCATCACGATAATTTTTTTTTTAAAAGATACATTATACATTCTTAATTTCAAAGAAGATAAAGAAATTTCATTTGTTAGAAAACCTTGGAGAATCCAGTAAAATATTTATAATCATTTGTAGGATATACCCGGACCCTAATTGTTTAATTAACAATTGATTCTTAATTTACTATTTAAAAAAATATATATATATATATATATATATATATATATATATATATATATATAGTAAGAGAGAGACAGAAAGAGAGGAAGTTTTGTGTGATGTGTGTATTTGGGTAGCAATCTCTCTTTTATACAGGTTTCATTAAAGACGATTGACCAGGTACTTCATTTAAGATTGTTACTTAATTTTTCTTGTGTTCACATAAGTTTTTTCTTACTGTACATAACAGCAACACGCATACAAAAGATTCGAAGAGTTTTTACACTCATGTCCAGAAAAAGAAAACTTATAAGGCATAAGAAAAATTATATAAAAGTTTAAACGCCGTGACTTGTTTGTCGTTTTCAGTGATCTGATTTGACATATTTGTTTAACGGCACATCAACTCCTTATGGGTCATTTAATGGCAACATTTTATTTTCTTGGTAGCTTTGAAGTAATAAAAATATGATATGTTATTCTGCTTTCACAAGTGAATACATGGTAGATGATAGTCAGCTTTTGTGCATGTACATGTTTGTGTGGACATAACTGAAGGTGGTTATATGTCTGCTTTCTGATGTAGTTTTGCTGAATATATAGAGTTTGATTCAAGGAATTTTAGAGTATTATATGAGTTCTTTCATGTTGATTCATGTATTGTTGGTAATTTTCCTTTCAAATGATGGTAAATTTTGATATAAAAAAGGTATTACTGATATTTTTACTATAAAAATGTATTTTCATACTTTCATAGGGTTTTGTTTTTGTTTGGGCATTCACTATTTGACTTTAGTTGGGATCGGTTTTGCCATCCATTTGATGCCTAAACAACAACAATTAAGGGGTGGTTCCAACCCTCCTCAAAGCTCCAATCTCCCAATCAGAAGCCTTGCTGCCGGATGTAGTTTATCGTCATACCAAGAACTATGTATAGGGGTCGTTTAATAATTTATTCTCGCAGGCCAAATCTATAAGATTATGGCCTAACTTAATTTTGTGTTAATATATCTTTGTATATAATTACATATTTAAATTGTTACAAAAAATATTTATATATATATATATATATATATATATATATATATATATATATATATATATATATATATATATATATATATATATATGGTTATATGGCTTGGATTGAGGAATCGCAGAGCCGAGTTCGAATTCCAGTCGAATCCACTGCATTCACTTACGTGCTAATACCCTTGGGAAAGGTATGTATCCTCTTCATTTCCCTCCAGATATGGGTAAAATAGCAGGACAGACTGGGTTCTATAGCCTTGGGTGGCAACTGGTCTAGGAGAAGGACAACTCTGAATTCAAAACCTGCGGAGGGTCGTTTGGGAACCTTGTGGCATGCATTCGGTGCACCAGGTTTCTGTATTCGTCCCTCCAAAAAGTGTGGCTGGTCCTGCACAAGGCCTTCACCACTATAAACAAATCTCATGTGCCGGTGTCGGGATGTCGGTTTCCTGGGGACTTATCGGCCTGACCCTCATACGTCGAACGCGACGGGAGAGTCGATTATATATATATATATGATTTATATGATTTATGATATATATATATATACCATATTAGAATAAAAATTTGCCATCTGTCATAATATACCATATGTCTTAACCATATATTTACTTGAATTATCGTTAAAGTGTGAGCGACCCTAAAAATTTAAATATATCACCTGAAACCAGATTTTTATATAACCTAACAATGGAAGCGTCTATTCTCAATTTCTTTCCCTTGGAACGCAATATTGACCATAGACTGATGGAAATCGTCAATAATTTTCAGTCGGACACCCCGTCGACTTATTGCCGTCATTTAGCTGTCTACCTGTCATTATTCAGCCTCCGAGACGTGAAGAGGTCGCACATGCGTGGTTAAGCGTCGTTAACTTTTCCCCGCCTACAAACACCGAAAAACAGTCCATCGCCCTTGTCAGATTAACTGTCCAATCGAACATATCCGAAAAGTTCTCAGTTTTCCACGACGTATCGTAACCTTGCTTTTAGTCTGACTAGCTTACGCCTGACAGACAACAAGAAGAAAAAGAGAATCATCCATGATAGGTTTTAGGTGAAGACTCGTTTGAACATGGGCAGTAACAAGTGTTGGCGATCTGTGCAGATGGACACGCTACCATCAGATTTGTCGCTTTTTATTTCTTTTAGCCTATCAACGTCTTCTCTCTCAACTCATCGCGCATAGATTTGATTTGATGCAGATCTAATCTTCAAAGAGACTGTGAAGGTTTTTGCTTTTAATAACTTAAAGACAGGAAGACGTTATTTCGCTCCCTTCGTTTTCCGTCTTCGGCATCATCTATGATTTTGTCGAACTATTCAAACCTCAGTCTATCTATCTATCTATCTATCTATCTATCTATCTATCTATCTATCTATCTATCTATCTCCCACGTCAAATTTTTTTTGCTTATCTCAATCTTTATTTTAGTGTCTTTTCTTTATTTCTCCATATCAATCTGGCCATATCTACCTATCTGTCTAAGTCAAGTCCGGCCATATATATATATATATATATATATATATATATATATATATATATATATATATATATATATATGTGTGTGTGTGTGCTTCTCGGTTCATTCAGAGCACTGAAATAATTTTTTCTAAGTGATATTGATGTTTTAGTCAATTCACCCCAAGCAAGGTGATAATGCCAGTAAGACGCAAGAGATTACTGAAAGTGCAAAGGAATGAAAAGAAACGGGAAATCCAATCCCAAACTAGGGATAAACATTTACCCTTGTTCAGAAAAACCGGCGATGAGTGTGGACATAGCGATAAGCGAAACTGTGTCTGCATGAGATTTCAAAATAAAATTGTTCAACTTTATTCCAAGACATCCTAGCCGAACATACACTATTTTGAAATCAGACTGACTTCGTGAGCAAATTAAAAACAATCTGGACCGGATCCAAACCCGCAATCCTGAAATTTTGGATTACTAAGTTTTCATTATTGCGATTATTTTCGACCATTTTTTACGTGATTTTTTGCGAGGTTTTTTTTTGTACCATAACAATTTTTGTAACTTGGAAATAATTTTGGGAATAATCGAAATTAATTTCGAAATCCAGTGAAAGTCGCCCATGAAATAAAAATAATTGTTTGTACGGAAAGTAAGGACCTACGTACATCAAACTATCTTTAAAATAAGTGGCAGCAAAAGAATTATCGCTGAACTTTTAAAAGGTAAGCTTAAATATTAATGCAATACTTAAATGCAGCGATCAATTTTGTGTTCTTCTGTAGTTTGTTGTTGCCTATCACATCTACTTCTTCCTACCTATTGCGATGAACGCCCAATTAAGAGCCCTCTGCAGGGGCGTTTAAGCAAGAATATCCGACGTTCAAATTTTCAGGATAACAACTGAGACATAACTCTATTTATTGAACAGTTTAGTTCATGCCACATTGACTGAAAAACTCCTGCAACAAAAAAATCTCAAATTACCATATTAGTAAAAAAAAACGCACTCTCTTAAATTTTCAAAAAAATTCAACCTTAGCGTTGCGACTATACGCTCCAAATGTTTGTATCCGTTAACAATAACACATTTCTAAAAAAAAACATATTTCGATTCGCATTTAATCTTTCGTCTCCGCTATTACCTGGATTTATTAAAAACAAAATAATTTCCATGCCAGAGGATGACTGTATGTATAGTCGAAAGTACTAGCAGATTAAAAAAGAAGACCTCATACAAATTGTTAAAAACAAGGATCATAAGAGTCATCGAGTGGTTCGTAGTTTAATGCAAATTTAAAAATTTTGTTTGCAAAGAGTTTTCGCCATTTCATATCATTAACTTTACTCATCTACTTTTTATGAATGAACGATATATATAATATATATATATATATATATATATATATATATATATATATTCGTTATTCGTTTCAATTGCAAATGGTCAACATTTGCTGTTCTATCTACAAGAGTCTGACCAGGCCAAAAATCTTCATTTTCTGTCATATCTGGGCTTATACTGCCCAGTTCACACTGTCTACCTTCTTTTTGCCAGTCTTTCCCTGCTAGATCACCCTTACTATGGCCGATGTTCGGAGAACTTACACTAAAACGGTTCCACTCGTTCACCCTTCACAACTAGAATTCACCACGCTATTTTCACGGAGGCAAATCATCCCCTTCGTTTACCTTTGATAAATAAACCAGTTCCACTCACACAACTTTTCCCCGGAACTATTACTCTGTGGAATAAACTCCCAAGAGGATACTTCCCTTACAACTAAAATGTCGCTTTCTTTAAGGGTCAATCAACCAATATCTATCCTACTCATCTCTATAATACTCTTTACTCCCCACTTCTCTGCCATTACAATTTCATTCGGTAATTCTCTACCTTGAGTGGCTCTTGGGGTTTTTATTGGCTGAACTAACACTAATAAAAAAAACACTAAAAAGTGCTAATAAATAACGGTCTGGGAAGATATGAGTATATAGCAGGATAAACTGTGTTTTATAGCCTTGTCTGGCAACTGCTGTAGGGGAAGGACAACTCTGAATTCAAAAACTAGTGTACGGAACGAGGGCGACCCATACCATATTCCCTGGTTTTCACCTGTCGCCTCTGTCGGTCATGAGAGGAGATGGACGCCGCCGAACTATCTGAAAGCATCATGAGGAAGAAGAATCAATGTCTGTATCTTCTGTCCTCTGCACCACCCCCATCCCCACCCTGCGAGTGAAGCATTCGAGGGATAAAAAAAAGAAATGTTGATATTTATTGTCTGGCATGTCTCCCAAACCAGGACATTCCATAAATGTCGAAATTATGACATTGTTTATAAAGTAAGTTGATAGCCATTATTCGATGCCTCGGGCAGATCGTAGCTTCAACCCAGACCATAAACATTTGATCAGTGAAATTACATCTTGTTCTATGTACCCGTATTATATTGTCTTTTCAGTTGCCCTCCCCCAATCTTTGTTCTTTCATCCACTTAAACAACTTGTTTATATAGGTTAATTCCTCTGTATTTCAATATGTCCTGCGAGTGTCACATTTTCCAAGCCTTCTTTCCTCATTACATGTCCGAGAAATTTCAACTGTCTCTTTCTGATTTTTAGTATGTCTTTTTTTTTGTTTCGTTTTCCCTTAAAACATTCTTGCTCAATCCATGGTATTCTCAATATCCTTCAGTAGAACTACAACTCTATTGGCTAGTCTCCTCTTTATTTCTATGGAAATTGTCCAGCATTCACAGAACGATTGATATTATATAACAGTTCAATAATCTTTTCTTTGTTTCTAACGAAATCCTTCTCTCTCTTAATACGTATTGACTTAAAGCAGGTTTAGACTTATCTCAAGTCTTTTCTTTATATGTGAGGAAATAAACAGAGAAAATAAGCCTCGAAATTAGATTGCTATACATCGCCTTTTAAATAGCCCTCCTAAGCTATTAATATCTGGTCTTCGTAATAAATAGATCTGATAATCTATTAAAATCTGTTCTCCTAATCTTACTTATTATAAAACGCAGATTGTGTGTGTGTGTGTGTGTGTGTGTGTCTGTAACGTTTATATATTGGATCAGATTTCCTACATTTTTCAACCGATTTCAACAAAACTTCACAGGACTACGTAAAATTACCTTGCGGTGGCTTTTGAAAAAAAAAACACAATTGTTTTTGCACAAATTAAGAGGTATCGCGAAAATGAAAGGGGGACAACTCATATCGAGTTATACTTATAAAACCCAGGTTGTTTGTGTGTGTGTGTGCGTGTTCATTTATATATGGTATCGGATTTCCTACATTTTTCAACCGATTTCAACAAAAATGCACTTTTATTTTGGCAGGTAGTGTTTCTTATTGTCTTGCACACTTTTTTCTTTATTTTTACATTCAGAATGCTTTAAAAATTGCATTTACAAGACAATTGTTTATAATAAAATTATTCAATCGGTAGACTCATAACGATTGAAAACAATGTTTTTGTTTGAGTTTGGGTTTGACCAATTCGTAAAAAAAACAAACTAATTAAGACATGCGTGTCCGTCAACCTTAAACAATAATCTTTGTCAATTTTATTTTTCAGTCTTTATGATGGTCGATACTTGATCTATCTCTTAATGTTACATCCCCGGGCAACGCCGGGCTCTACTGCTAGTCTATTAATATCTGTCCTTCGTAATAAATAGATCTGCTAATCTATTAAATGTGTTCTTCGTAATAAATTGCTCTCTTAATCTATTAAAATCTGTTCATCGTAATAAATAGATTTCTTAATCTATTAATGTGCTCTTCGTTAATAAATAGATAACCTAATCTATTAAAAGGTTTTATTCGTCATAAATAGCTGTCCTAATCTATTAATACCTGTTTTTCGTAATAAATAGCATTCTAGAGCTATTAATATGTTCTTCATATTTAACTACAAAATGTGTACTTATTCCTTTAATTTTCTCATTTTCCTTTCTTTGCCACTGTTTTCATTAATTGCTTTGCCTTAAAACAAATCTTCCAAAAACAAATTTTTAACCGAAAGTATAGTTTTCAACATTCAGGCGTGTAATGAGTCCACCTATATGTCAGTGGGTTTCTTCAAAACGCCAAGTAATGTAATAAGAAACAGGTTCATTAGAAGCAAAGAATATTCTTCTGAAATGCCATGTAATATCGGTTCCTCCTTTATTACAGAAAACGTTGAACCATCTTCTTACAGGTGAAGAAGAGGCTTGTGGGAACTAAGATATGATTTTACAGAAGGTTGATGAGAACACAATAGATTTAACATGTGAGTAACCAGGACGTTTTTTTACAATGATATTCATTCTCTACAAGTTCTAAGAAGCACTTGAGATAAATGATTAAAAGAGTATTTTATTATATAGTTTATCGGGATATAAGGGAAAGGAAACGGTTAGCCCTAGACTTGAACAGGTTAAAATTTCTTATGGGAATCGATCCCACAAAGACGCGGCATTGTGGGAAAAAAAGTTACTTGAGTGTAACTTACATCTCGCCTATGGAATATGAAGTAAATGAAGATTATTCGCTACAATGTGAATGGCTTGCTGGATCTTAGGCGTGAAGGTTAGAAATGGGGGAACTAAAGAATTTAATTCGTCTGAACACACTCCATGGAAATAGCGATTAAGCAGCAAAATGCTTCAGAGTATGTCTCTATTTCTGAGATGAGATATTATGTACATTATTTACATTATTCGGACTATTGTCCTCATCTTTGTCGCCATATTTATCACAACGTTTCAGCCGTTGTACGCTCTAGCCTTCTTCAGGTGGTTGGAATGTCGAACTGAACCCTTTATTTCGCTCACTGTTGTAGACTGTTCTAGTTCCACGTGCCATGTTTGATGGATGTCAGTTATCAGTTATCTCCTGTTAATTTCCCTGTGAAAGTTCTCCACTGCCTTAAACGGGTATTGAACTCACACTCTTTGGGTCCTGTCACTGGATCTAACCAACGCCTTTATCTACTGTGCCATGTGTCCTTGAGGACATGGCACGTTGAACTAGAACAGTCTACCCCAGTGAGCCAAATAAAGGGTTCAGTTCGACATTCCAACCACCTGAAGAAGGCCGGAGCGTACATCGGCCGAAACTTTGTGATAAATATGGCAACAAAGATGAGGACAATAGTCCGAATAATGTAAATAATGTAGCAAAATGCTTGTGACTTTTAGTCTCTAGGAAACAGGTTGTACGGTGGGAAATAATTTACCCGTACAAGGAAAATGGAAACAAAAAAAGGACACTCACAATCAAAGAATCAATTACATTTTCTAGGGACATTTGATGAGAAAAGGTTTGGAGAATTCGACACTCACAGGATATTGAAGACAAGTGTGTGTGTGTGTATGTATGTGTGTGTGTATGTGTGTGTGTGAGAGAGAGAGAAAGAGAGAGAGAGAAAGAGAGAGAGAGAAGAAAGCATCAAACAAACTTGACATGACAGTAATTAAGAAAAATAGCTGTTGAAACGAAGTAATTGCTTAAAAATAACAAAACAAGAGGTTGTAGATAAATCGTGTATTGAACATTAAATCCAACAGAAGAGTATTACACGACTTGTGAGTGTGTAGGTTGACCAGCATTCAATCTGTTCTCCTGAGGCTTACTTTCCTACTAATTTTATAGTAAGTGGAAGAGTCCACAATAGACTCATTAGAGGGAGGACACCACACGATAGCAAAAAGACAAAACTTACTAACATCTTCAAAGGACAGCATGTGTGGAACGGCCATGATCGCCCACGTCCTAAATGAACAAGGTGCATAGAAGAAAACCTGAAAGTTCCAATCCCCAGTCCATTTGCCTTACCAATGAGCAGCATGTAATGCACTCAATAGCCCAAATCTTTATCCATCTAAGACTGATTTAGAAAACTGCTCGTGCTAGATTATCATTGGGGGTTATTGAATTGATTATCACGTCAGTTACATCAAGATATTGTGTTGTTGGTGCAATGTCGTCAAAGATAGTGCAGTTGTAATTAAGTTCATCACGAATGGACAAGCAACGAACAAATGCTCTTCATTATCCATGGCATATCAAACAAAACTCATTTCGCTTGATATAAAAGCATTACTTTTCTTATTGATTCAGTTGGACTTTAGCCGACATTTGGAAGTAGCGTCTTTTATTTTTTCATTTACCAAATATATTTTCCGGAAAGAATTTTTCAGTTACATGTTTTTTTTTTTTTTTTTTTTTTTTTTTTGGCTTTTTAAAAATATATATTTATCCTTTTCATGTTACATTTTTTTTTTATCTTTGCACGTTCTTTCTTTTTTTTTCTTTCTTTCTTTTTTCTTTCTTGATTTATCCTTTTCCCTTTTCGGCATTCATCTCTCCATCTTTCTTTCTTTCTTTCTTTCTTTCTTTCTTTCTTTCCGCATTCATATTTCCTTTCAGCTTCAATTCTTTCTATGTTTTTCACTTTTCATTTTCGTTTTTTAGGTATCCATCCATCCAAGCATCTATTAATCTTTCTTTCTTTCTTTCTTTCTTTCTTTCTTTCTTTCTTTCTTTCTTTCTTCTTTTTTCCATTCCATTTCATTCTTTCTTTTTACATCTATATTTCATTACACCTTCAATATTTTCTTTCTTTCTTTCTTTCTTTCTTTTTTCCCAATTCATATTTCCTTTCAACATCAATTCTTACTTATTTTTCTTTCTTTCTTTCTTTCTTTCTTTCTTTCTTTCTTTCTTCATATTTCCTTTCAGCATCAATTCTTTCTTAATTTTCATTCATTCTTTCTTTCTTTCTTTCTTTTCAATTCATTCTTAATTTTCTTTCTTGCTTTTCTCTTTCTTTTTTCCATTCCATTTCTTTATTTCTTTTTTCATCTCTATTTCATTTCAGCTTCAATATTTCCTGTTCTTTCTTTCTCTTTTCCCAATTCATATTTCCTTTCAACATCACTTCTTTCTTAATTGTCATTTATTCATTCTTTCTCTCTTTCATTTTCCATTTTATTCTTAATTTTCTTTCTTTCTTTTTCAGTTCATTCTTAATTTTCTGTCTTTCTTGCTAAGTTTGTTCATACTCCCTTTCAGCATCAATTCTTTTTTCTTTGTTTGTTTCTTTCTTTTTTCTAGATTCATATTTCAACATCAAATTTTTCTTAATTCTCATTAATTCTGCCGGCCTTTCTTTGTTTCTTGCTTTCATTCTTTCTTTCTTTTTTCATATCCGTTCGTAATTTTCTTTCTTTAATTTTTCTTTCTTTCTTTAATTTTTCTTTCTTTCTTTCTTTCTTTCTTTCTTTCTTTCTTTCTTTCTTTCGCCATACTTCCTTTCAGCATCAATTCCTTCTTTCTTTCTTCAAATTATTCGTAATTTTCTATTTTTCTTTCTTACTTTCTTTGTTCATACTTCCTCTCAACATCAATTCTTTCTTAATTTTCATCCGCTCTTTCTTTCTTTCACTTTTCAATTCTTTCTTTCTTTCTTTCTTTCTTTCTTTCTTTCTTTCTTTCTGTCATATTTCCTCTCAGTCTCAATTCTTTCTTAATTTTTATTCATTCTGTCTTTCTTTCTTCTTTCAATTGACTCTTAATTTTCTTTCTTTCTTTCTTTCTTTCTTTCTTTCTTTCTTTCTTTGTCCATACTTCCTTTCAGCATTAATTTTTTCTTTCTTTCGAAAAAGGGCAGTGGTCTTAGTCGGACATGTCAACAAAGCTGTACCAATGTCTACTGATTCTGAAAAAAGTATTTGGGGTCTGGAGTTGTCCTGATGGAAGGTGCTATCCATCGTATTGGCCAATTCCAAGCATTTCCCATCGTGTTCTGCCTTTAATATGTTTAACTCTGAATAGTATTTGTGTTTTTTGGTTTATTTTGTTTTAAGGCATATCAATACCTCAGTGGGTTATTTAATGCCGACAAGATTTTAAATAGGTTTGTATGAATATAATATGTATTCTTTGTAAAAATCAGTTTGTAGATTAGGTTTCACTGAGGTATTTTTGTAAAGAGGGATGTTATCGAGATTCAAAAATGTAATATTTTTCTGTTTTTCAAAATTCATCGCTGGTATTTTTACTATAAAAAATATTTTTATACTTTCATAGTCTTTTGACTGCAGTATGGAGGTTAACTATATTCCCATAGCTGGGATCCTAACAGGTGCTACCACTCCGAATCAGGGTGGTCCTGGGAACGATTGCAATTAGGAGATGGGTCCAAGGTACTACGGTTTATTTATTTATTTCTATTTTTCTTGTGTTCTTGTAATTTATTCTTTCTAAAGTAACCAACGGAAAGACTGAATATACAGATACAAACAATAACATTAACATTTTCTATAAAAATCAAACGCAGGGTTACCTAAAAGCAGGAATATTTTCCATTAGAAATATGACAAAGAAACATACAACTCTAGTAAAAAAAAAAAAAAATATAAATTAATCATCTACGATAAAAATATTAAAACTGTGACCCTTATCATCAATAAATCACCTGCAAGATCCAAATTAAAGAGCAACAATATTATTTATGAATTCACATATTTCTTAAGGAACTGTTTTCCTGATCAAACCAAATTCATAAATAATTATATTGAATTTACTACAACATGCTTAACAAGAAGACCCACAATACATCTCTCTGACCATAGCTCAATGACGTCTCATTTAAATACACATGGACACCTACTAAACTCCATCCACAACATATTTGTTGATAATACAAATATAATAACCTCTTCTGTATCAACAAAGGGCTAAAACTAATGGAAGTCTTATTAATAAAAAAAAAAAGAGTAAAAGGCAACACTCAATGATATCACCTATAAACACGGCAACAATGTGCTGACCGTGTTTGGAAAATAAAATATTCCTATGACTCCAGATACATACATAAAAAAATCATAATATTGAGTTAAAAGTAAAAAAAAAAAAAAGTTGTTCTTGATCATGGCTAAAAGTATAGCCGGAAGTCCTCAGATATACATAACATTCGGAAATTGTTACTCAATTTATGTACTGAAAAGAAAAAAATGAAGACACAAGAATTATGAAAGAAAAAACTGAACCGCAGTACACTGATTTGGTTTCACCATCTCTCACCGAAGGGCCTTTTCTCAGACAAGCAATATGGTTTCTCCAGGTCAACTGCTGATGTATTAATGATAATTGCAGAAAGACCCACCGTGCGCTCGATAAAAACAATTAAACTTGTATAAAAGAAGGGTCGCTGCCGAAATACACATACACACACACACACACACACACTTTTATATATATATATATATATATATATATTTTTAAAACATCTGCATATAGCTTTTATAGACTGTTAGTATAGCTATCCATGTATATTAATTTCTGTATATATATATATATATATATATATATATATATATATATATATATATATATATATATATATATGCATGTTTCATTAAAAACGACAGACAAGGTACTATGGTTGAGCTTTTTATTTAATTTTTCTTGTGTTCTGACAAGAGCTTTCTTTTCTGGACAAAGGGTGTGTAAGAACTGTCCAAATGTTTTATATTCCCGAGCGCTTTCGGCTATACCTTTAGACATTATCAAGGATGATTCGATTTTCAGCTTAATTGAGTGTGTGTGCGTTCTGTGTATGTATTAGTGTGTGGTAGGGATGTTTTTAATTTCCGAATACGGTTAGCACATTGTGGCTTTGTTCGTAGTTAATATTGTTAAGAGTTGGCTTTTTTTTTTTTATTATTAAAGCTTCCATTATTTTTTTAGTTTTTTTTGCAAGTGGATGCAGTTAATATATTTGTGTTTTCTACTAGTATGTTCCTAATGGTGTCGGGTAAATTTGTGTGTGTGTTTAAATGGGTTCTGATGGTGGACTGATGATCAGATAGCATGTAACGTAAGACGTGTCGTAATAAGTGTTGAATTAAATGTTAATTTTTATGAGTTTGGTTTGAATTTCTAACACAGTTTCTTATATATATATATATATATATATATATATATATATATATATATATATATATATATATATTTTTTGCTTGTTCAAATTTTTTATATGTATTATATGTATTTAATTTTTTTTTCCTTTCAATGAATTTATTAATTTTTATTGGATGTAGAAAATTGATCTTAATTTTTCTTTAAATTTCTTTTCAAATTAAATTTCCCTTTCCTCAGTCCTTTACCATCTTCAGGAGTTCCATATCTCTGGATGTGTTATGCGATAACGCCATAAATTCAAAAGGGATGTAACTTATGTGATTTTTTAAAAAGAGTTTTTAATTGTAGTATTTTAATTTAGTATTATGCAATTTTATTACCTCCATTTAATCTTTAAAAATATTTTCAATTTATTCATTCAGAAAAAAAAATCCATAGATATGCAACCCTTGAACATGGTCTCAAAGGGGATTGAAAGTAGTTGGTAAAATAAAAGTTATTTGAAAGAAAATTTTGGTTTTTTTCTTAATCAATTTTTTACAGACACCAAAGAAATTCATTCGTGGACTTTAAACGATTAAAAATGAAATAAGGAGACATAATAATTCAAAATTATTTGACCAAACATGCTTGAATGAAAATTGAGAAAACCAATATATATATATATAAAAATAATATTTTTAGGCATTTAAAACAACATAAAATAAAAACAAAAATTGGTTAAAATACTTGTCGAAAACACAACTATACTTCGATTTTGAAAACAATTTTAAAATCTAAAAAATACTTTGAAGCAATTATACATCAAACAGTTAAAACCCAAAAAAAACAAAATCAATATATATATCTCTATAAATATATTAAATGTATATAATTATAACAGAAGCCATTGGTTTATACCAATTTATATATATTTTCATTCTACAATTCACTGATTCGTTGGTCATGTGTGATGATATATGAGATGCGGTGCGATTTTTGCTTCTAGCGTCTTATATGTATATATGTTTATCGTTATTAGTGATCAATATATATAAATAATGATATATAATCACTGTCGTGTCCGTTATTTTTTAATATGTTTGTGATTTACATTTTTGATTTTTCTTTTATTTTAAGTTTAAAAATATATCAATATTCAAATTTTTCTTCTTCGTTTAATGAAAATGTTATCAAACTTATCAGATGTTACGAACAATTTTTTACATAAAATAAATAGACAACATTTGAAATATTATTTTAAACGTTTTTATATATATATATATATATATATATATATATATATATATATATATATATATATCCGTCTTTTAAAATGGAAAATTAGAATCTTATTTCACCATTGAAATGTTTTCATCCAAAGTTTTTTTTGTCAAACCAAGCACGGTATTTCCAAATATCTGTTTTTTTTACTATAAGAGAGAAGAAAACAGATTTAAAAAAAAAAATAATATGCAAAATATTCTTATCGAATACAATTTATTCAGGAGAATGGCTACTGGATTCAAACGTGAGGAGAAAATTATTTTAGATGTTAATTGAAGTGTTATCTATTGTCTGTTGTTATGCTTATAGAGGTCAACATTTTTGTCGGTGAACGTCCATTAAATCTAAACATCTCCCTGTTTTTTTAAATGACGAAATGGTTATATCTTTGTGAATAACAGATTTTATGTAAATACAGAAACAAAACCAGCTCACCAGATTAAGGCCCAAGAGTCACTCCAAGTAGTGGGTTAATAAATAAATATCATTTTTTACAGGCATAAAGGGTTGGAAGTAAGGTAAAAAATCTATTATACGTGCATAAATTGACCATATGCTTGAAAAGGTGCAAATCAGAGTGATCGTCGAAGCATCATCTTGTGAATCTCTTCC